ATACTGCTTTGAAAATGCTGATAGATTACCAAGTGGAAGCTTTCCATATTTCCTTGTGGTGGTTCCAGCCCTGTGTGTTCTGGAAGCCATCCTGGGACATGCTAAGTAAGTTTTGATCCTTTCTATAATTTATCTGTAGCTGAATATGCTTTAGGAAGGAATTACTTTTTCCATCTGCCTGGGGAGGATTTAGATAACTTAGGCCCAAAGCATTTAAAACAAAAACAAAACAAAACAAAATTTCTTGACTTGACCAAACCTACCAAGGTATACTTTTACCACTCTTCCCATATTTAGAATGTTCCATCATGCTTTCTCCTCCAAATGTTGAAGCTTTTGGACAAAACAAATAAAGAATGATCATTTGAGTCATGGATGGGCTAGTCTTATTCAAGACAGACTTCAGAGCAGAAAGAACTATTTTGCTCTCATAAACAATGCAGTAAGGTCTGTCTTCTTACAAAGATTTTCTTGAGCCTCTTCCAGCTAATACGATGCAATCAGAAAGAATAATCTTACAGGAAGGAAATATAGGGAAGTAGATACCATTGGTTCAAAGGACTAAATTTTAAAAGATCATAGGACAGACCTTATGTGGTTTATTGCAATGCAGAAGAAATTAGTTTAGTCCCAGGAGAGAAGCTGCTTTACTTCAGCATCTAGATTTGATCTTCTAACTAGTCGCATGTAAATGTGTGTCAATCATGGTGTTGCCAGACTGAACTAAAACTTGCATTAGAGACAACTTGGTGGTTCTCCAGGTGCAACTCCCTAAGGCAGGCCTTTAAAATTTTACACTCAAGATTGCAGGAGGAGGTTCTATTGTTACAGGGGCTTCCATCACAACTAAACAAGAGACTAAATCACTCTGTAGGTACCTTTGCATCTCTTATTGTGAATAGCTCCAGACTGCTAGTAGAAATCCTTTAAACTATTTTGTTCAGTCTTGTTCATGAAAGTCTGTATACATAAGACCAGAAGACCCATTGATTGCATGTGAAGCTGGATACATCATAATGTGTTCTTTGGAGTTAGAAGGTCAGTGCCTGAACTTTTCCAAGCTGGCAAGGTTGCATCCAACTTACAATTTGAGATGCCATCAAGAATCCTTCTACCCAAATTTTATCTTTTTTGTATACCTGTTCATTTTCTTGAGGCCTGAAATAAGAAAAAGATCTAGAGAATCCAGCCTATTCTGAGGAATAGAAATTTTTGTCTGGACTCCTTAACATTGAGAATGAAGTAGCTAGAAAGGAAAATATCCTGCACATCACCACTAATTTGGAAGGAATCAAACTATTACTGTCAAACTAGCTAACTGGTCTATAAGGAGGATTTAGACCCATTTCCCTCTTAGCTCACAAATTAAAAAAAAGAGTCCATTCTCTAATATCTTTGTTGTGGGCAAAAATAAAAAGGACTCACCAGTCCTTAGAATACTTTGGTTAATCCCTGTAATCAGCTAATACCTCACCTAGACATTTCTTAATGCAAAATTCCATGCATGTAATTTTGAGAATCAGAAGATTATTGCTTATCTGGAACCTAAATCAATTACAGTCTGGCTGAGCTGGCTGTTATGGCTTTTGAGGACACCACATGGAATATCCTTCTGTAGCTCCTAACTGGAGTACCTTGACTTTTGTGATGAAGGGGAAGTTGAATGCAAATGGAACAAAGGAACTCAACAAATGGTTCTATCTAGAGAGCAAAGACCTGCACATTTTGGTTTCCTATGAGAGAAGAGAGATCAAGAGAAAAATTACTTGCTGCTTTCTCAATTCCAGGTTTAACAGCTACAACTGGAATGGATAAGGTGGAAGTCCTGAACTGCATCTTCATCTGTGCTGAACAAAGAAAATATAGCCAAAGTCCAAAAGGAGAACAACAAACTCCCCACAGCATTAGCTAGGACTGAATTATACTTCGCATGTAAAAGGAAGAGCAGTACAGCCAAAAAGTGTCAGACTAAAGGAAAAACGCAGGATCCAGAATTCAAGGTTACTACCTGGCAGAAAATAAGATTAATAGAGTCTCAGAGTCATCCTTTTTAAATAGTCTCTAGTAATATATTTCTACAGTATTTATATTGCCTAATAACAGAATATATTTCTTTCATACTTGTGTCACGAGGAAGATCCTTCTATAATTCTGTGAAGAAAAACTTTTGCTGAAATAATTCATTAACACACAAAAACAAATGTTCTCATTCAAAATGTAGGATGTTGGTCTAAAAGATATGCTGTATCAGCAATCAGGCACTTTCTTATAACATTTTCCATAAGACCATAAGAGTCAACAATATAAAATTAATATTTTAGAAAAGACTGTAATCACATTTTGATTTTAATTAGACAGTAATTATGTCCTAGCTGAGCACACTTACATTAAGTTTGACATAATTTTAGGACTTTATCCTGAAAATATTCATGGGAATACCCCTTATTGTACTAATAAGTCATAAAGACTGAGTGGTTATTTAGACAGGTAGGAACTACCCATGTGTTTGTTAGACTGTAAGGTTGGACATGGTGTTGGGGCACTGTACTAGTACAATATGGAATATGCATTAGACTAATCTAATTTAATTGTATTATATCTGCATTTGAGATCTTACTATTCTGCAAACTCTTAACTTACAATACATATGTTACTAGACAAATACTGCATACAGATCTCTAGTCAAACAAAAGGTTTGATTTTTATTAGGTGGCTAACCTGGATGTAGAAGGTTAAAACCTTGTAGACACTCGTTTGAAAGAGAAAAGAATCTTTCCTGAATAATTAAAAGGTAGAACAACTAGTAAATTCTAGTTCGTATTCCCCTGTGGCTCAATTAATGCAATATGGGTAATTTGCTCATTTTCAGCTATTATATGTTTCTTTCCTGACTCTGCAGTGACGACACTGCTAGCAATGGAAATATCCCTATCAAATGCATACATGGTAGTTTCCTGATTTTCTTGGACACATTAGGTACATACATACGTACTAACTTTCTGACAGTTAAGCTGACTTAACTTTAAGTCAACTTAACTGTTAGAGTGTATACATGTGTATGGAGCAGAGTTGACTTAAATGAATTGCATAATAATAAGCTTCCAAGGTGTATTATCTTGAGTTGCATTAGTTAAGTCAACTTAGCTCACAAGATGGCTGCCATCATGTCAAGGAGCTGTACATCTGTATGCTCTGACTTGGCTTAAGTGACTTAGTTAAGTCACCTTAAACCCAATTAGTACGTGTCTATGCACCCCTTGTGTGATTTTCACGGAATACTCATGCGCTCACTTCATTATAACTCATCTTTGGAATATGAGTCTGTACACAAGTTCTCTTATTTCTACAGGGTTTGTATATATTTAATTGGCACAAATGTGTCAACAGGGATAATCAAATATACACATGTGCATACACATGGCATCTATGTTCCATACAGAAAAAAGAAATTTCCTGCAGAAGTCACACTTATGTTATACTGGCTGCATGATATGCATCTGGTTGGCACCTCACTCCTAGAAGAAGTATTTAACCAATTGGGCACTATGCCATCAGAAACATTTACGTGTAGGCAGCTAAATCATATATATTCATAAGCAGTGAAGGCAGCAATTCTCAACTGGGAACAATAAAACTATGCCTGTCAGTAGTTTCCATGCTTACTGTGAAGATCTGCCTCCTTTACTCCAATCTGTGTTGGATTAAACGTATTATAAAATAAGGCAATTACCAACTCAGAGCAAGCTAAATCTATGGCTCACTGAACTTGGAATGCTGGAAGTCATTATAAACATCCAACCCCTTATTGGTTGTGACTCACAGTCCTTCACAATACAGTAAGACATTTCAGTGGTCATACTATATTTTATATGAATTTGCTGATTTAATGAAAAAAATCTTAGCTATGTAAAATGTTTGAAAATGGATTTAAAATGGTAACTTGAGTGCTGTTTTTCTGATAAAAAAAATCTCAATGGGTGGTTGAGAATTTGCCAAAATAGGAAGTACATTGCTAAACTGTTACCTAAACCAAATAAAAATTAACATTAAAAATATTACCATTAGTAATATTGGACAGGAACTGAAACCAAATCCTTCATTTTCAAGTGAAGCCATAACAGAAATACTCCTGGTGTAAAAATACTATATATAAATTGTAAGGTGCATTTAGACCCTGATCCTGCAAACAGATCCAGCTAGAAAAGTAATGTGCTTGTGAAGAATCCACTTGTCCACAGAGGACAGGGGCCCACCTATGAGGAACGTTTTATCAGCTCTGTCAACAGCATGGGCAAAGCAAGCCCTATAATCAACATGTGCCTACAGATGAAAGCAGCCTGCTTCCTTCTGCTACAATGCATTAGCACAATAGGGCAATCTTGACCTGTAATGGTAAGATTGCTAGACAGAATGCTACCTGCTATGCATTTTTGCTCCTGTTTGCTATACGACTTTTGGAATACAAAGGTAGGATATGACCCAATGTGTACACACAGGTGAAATCCTGGTCCTTCTTAAAACTGACAACTTCAGTGGGGCCAGGATTTCACGCATAATGCGTTTACATGTGTTACATATTTAAACAACACTGAGACTGCATTTCTATAGAACCTATATCCTATCACCTTAAATACTCTGATCCCATGTTTCTTGAGTTGGGGTTTTTATTATTGTTTGCTTTTTTCTAAGCATGATTAACTCAACCTGTGGCAACTTCTGAAAGCCTCTCGCTCCTTCTTGTTTTATGCAAGAAAATAAGTGGTAATCTACAATACTTGTAGCTAAAACATACAACGTTACTTAACTGTATTTTTCTCTGCAGTTTAAAGTAAAAAAGCCATTATGACTTTTAAACAGAGCTAAAACAATGGAAGACTACAGAAAACATATGCAATACTGTTCCCAGCAATGTTACCAGAAACCTCAATACAATGTTCTACACTAGAACTATTACATTGTGATACTAGTTCCTAGGGAAAATTACCCTGGAAAACCAATTATTTTGGTCAAACTGTTTATCTTCCAATACTGTATTGCCTTTTGTTATTATGAAATTAGCTTTATGACTGTAACTAATTATATACATCTTCAATAGCTTCTAAACTCCATGTAACCACAACAGACATTTAATATAATCAAAGCTATGTTTTGAAATATGTCACTTTGTATTCTTTTTACATATATGTCTGATGTAGATACACCTTAAAAAAAAGAAAGAATTCCTGAATATGAATGCCACTGACAAAAATAAATACATTTTGATATGTGGGATGACCTTACAGAGAAAATGCTACTTTTCCATTTAGTATTTAAATGATTTTTAACCTCACTTTTACAAACACTTTATTAGAAGAACCATAATCTGGCCAGCTTCCATTATCCTAAAATACCTGCATCTCAAATTGTCAATTCTAGACAAGTTGTAAAAATGTGTATTCAAAGGTTATGAAGTTTTTAAGAGATACTGGCACACTATTTAGGCTTTTTAATTACTGCATTCTGCTCTTGTGCCTGGGGTACACATCATTCATAGCAAAAGGACTGCTGCACACTCATGAGTGAACTATACCTGGACCTATCAGAAGCTTACCAAGAGAAAGGTAGTGGCACAATAACCACTTTTCTAAATATATTTTCTATACAAAATATTTCAAGATATAATCCTTAATTTTTTGTACAGTACTCTATCATTTATACAACAATATTCAGTAAAATAGTAATTGTGTGAAAATTGCAACACGACATGGAATGAGCACTTGGCCATTTTGCTAGTGTAATCAACATGAAGACCAGAAACTTTTTCTAACACATGGGAAAAATATTCTGTAGTTTCTGAATCTTGACTGCACACTTCATGATTTTGGCTATGACTTGCAGCACACTTGTAAGATACCACAAATATCTTATGCACATTTCAGTAGCAGAATGGCACTTGGCTTGCTCTAATAGAAACAACAAAGATGCAACTGACAATTTTAAGAAAGACAAGGTTCTTATTTGCATGCTGAAAATCTGGTTGTGTCCCCCTAATCCAGGCACATCCATTCATTGTGCAATCTGTCGATGGGTAAACAATAGTGCAGAATTCATCTCAGTGTGGTCTGGACCTTTGGTCTAGCCGAAGTCAATTCTGGGTCGATACTGCAGTACCATAGGATAAGACTAAAAATAAAACACAAAGAACACAACAACAAAAACAGACAAGTATAACATGAAGACATAACTCGCATGAAATACAAACAAGATGCAATTAAATCATACCTAAAGAAAAGTTAAAGGCCCTTCTCCAGGACTGTGCATATTATAGTTACCATCAGGCTAACATTGTTCTATACATGTCAATAACATTTAACCTCAAGTCAGTTTTCTAAATGTATAATGAAAAGCTTTGTATACCAGTTAATTTTATTAGGCACAAACAATATGCATCCTATATTACTCCTACAAATTATATGCCATATATATATGCTGGATATTCATAGGAAAAAATCCTCCTCTTATTTCTGTGTAGTGAGTTTGAAGCAAAACAAATGCAACATATCTTTATACCTTCACTAATAAAAATACATTATTCTAAGATGTAGCTGGCCCAATTTACAGAACTACAGACCTTTTACCTGCAGTCAGCTCTAGCTAATGAGAGCAGGGAGCACTCATCTTATTTGAAAGTCAGGTCAGTCACTTGATTTCATGAAAAAGACTAAAATTTCCTGACAAGAACCCTTTCAACTTCATTCAGGCAGTTAATTTTGCATAGTAAAATGCAACCGCTATCTGGATACATAAATTGGACTGTATTGCAATGGAGAATAGGAAGCATGAGAGAATGGAAGCTCCAGATACTTGCTGCTGGAAATTCTATTTTACATAATACATAATTTTTAATCTACGTTTTCCAGGATGAAAACTTAGATCAGTTTTCATTTAAGTCATATTTTTTCCACTCAACTTCATTGCGCATTCTCTTAAAATAGCCTGTTCCTATTTTTGTATTAGTCAGCATTAGAATGGAGTTAGCAGTAGCATGGAATAGCCTCAAGCTTTGCTGGCAGAGGTAACCACAGCTGAGGTACACATTTAAAACAAATGTGCATTTGGAATTATTAAGAGGCTGTATGATGCTATCATTAACCACTAAAAACACTACTTTTCTTTTCCTCATTCTTCAAATACCCAAAGCCCTAGGGTGCCTGCTCTCCTGTCTTCATGTGCCGCTTCCTAGCTTGCTGGGGTGCAGGGTGCCTCAGCAAGCTGAAAAGTGGCACATGAAGACAGGAGAGCAGGCACCCTAGGACTTTGGGTATTTGAAGAATGAGGAAAAGAAAACATCAGCTAGAAGCTAGACAGGCAGCCCCCACACTGTTAGCTAGACAGGCAGCCCTCACACTGAGGCACCCTGTGCCCCAGCAAGCTGAGAAGTGGCACATGAAGACAGGAGAGCAGGCACCCTAGGACTGCCTCCTCCCCTGTCTCTGCATTTGTCCCGGTACACCACAGTTTGGCAAGCTTTGCGCTGCTTTTTTTTTTAAGGGGGTTTATTTTTTTTGCTACCAGGAAATCCTGGTAGAAAATTTTCCCCAGCGCTGCAAATTAGCAGCACCACGTGTGGTTTAACATGCAACACATGCGGTTTGTGGTGCCGCAAAGAGGTTTTGGCACCACAAACTGTGCGTACCTGCACATCTGGATCCGGCTTAAGTTTCAGCAATATAACCATCTCCAGGTCTTGTGTGCAGTTCTTGTTAGTGTTCAGTGCATTCAAAGAAAAATGCACTGTTTGTAGAGAACAGTATTGATTTGAAACATGAGTCTTAAACCATAGATGAGGTGGCTTCTTTGCTACCATATAGCAGTGGTATCCTGCATAGATACATTTAATTTATTGAGTTTTGTTTGAGTATGCATTTATTACATATAAATAAGAACACAGTCTTTTTGTCCAAATGCCAAAACTACTTTGAATATTTCTGATCTAGGCATCTGATTTCTCAAAGCTCCAATGTACAAGCCCCACAACAGAAGTGATTTTTCTATTCCTTTCTTTTTTTGTTGTTGTCTTTTTGGTTTCTGAAGTACATCTGTGACCCGCACTGAGACATCCTGTACCCCAGATAGACCCCCAGCAGCACATGCTGGAGGACCAGTTCTGGGCACCCACTTCAAGAGGGATGTGGACAACATTGAGAGGGTCCAGAGGAGGGCCACCCGCATGATCCAGGGACAGCAGGGCAGACCCTACAATGAGAGGCTACGGGACCTGAACCTGTTCAGCCTTCACAAGAGAAGGCTGAGGGGGGACCTTGTGACCATCTATAAACTCACTAGGGGGGACCAGAAGGGTTTGGGGGAGACCTTGTTTCCCCCAGCACCCCCCGGGATAACAAGAAATAACGGCCACAAGTTGTTGGAGAGTAGGTTCAGATTAGACATCCGTAGGAACTACTTCACAGTCAGGGCGGCTAGGATATGGAACCAACTTCCAAGGGAAGTGGTGCTGGCTCCTACTCTGCGGGTCTTTAAGAAGCGGCTCGATGCCTACATGGCTGAGGTCACTTGAGCCCAGTTTCCTCCTGCCCAGGCAGGGGGTTGGACTTGAAGATCTACAAGGTCCCTTCCGACCCTACTTCTATGATTCTATGCAGCAGCGGGACAATTTGTCCCACTGCAAAGTGCACAAGCAGGGGCGTGCACTGCATCACTAAGTAGTGGCACAAATTTGTAGACTGTCAAAAAGCCCCAGGCAGAATCATTTCAATCTTTGCAGGTTAGTCTAAGCTGCATATATTGAATCAATAAGTAAGTGAACAGACATTCACTTTTGATTCTGGAAATGCAGCAATGCCTGCAGTAATCTAAGGCACAAGCCAGAGGGCACTAGAGAATGTTTCCCTGCTCGGCTAGAGAAGACAGCTTGGGCCAATGCTAGCTTACCCACCCTATGAGAAGGGGTTTGCAGGGCAGGTGCAAAGCATTCTGGGATGCTGGGGGACTGTGAGTTTACTTGAATCTGGAGGGGATTTGGGACAGAAGTTAGTTCAATAAACCAATTTAACCTAAATCAGTTAAATCTAATACTACATCCATCCAGGTTTATCTTATCTTTCAGAATGGTTTCAGTCATTTTGAAAGCAGTTCATGCCCACTGAACTTTTGTTGTGTTACAGACTTAAACAAGTATAACTGATCAGAAACCAGTTCATGTGTAATTTCTGTCCCTAGTCATGTCACTCTACTGAATTCAGTATAATTACAAAGAGAAAGTGTAGCAAAATTTCACCTTCTATTGCAAAGCAAAAATATTAGTCCACATCCGAGTAATTTTCAAGAGATACTGGCCAGGGGAAACTGCTGGATTGAAGTTCAGATCCAAATGTGCAGCTTGAAACAGTCCTTAAAACAGGCCAAATGAGAACACATAAATCTGACCACTGTGTTTAGGCTCCAGATTCTGGACTCTGGGCATGCTATAATATGGAGATGCGATGTTAGACCATCTCTAATTTATAATATAGAAAATGGAACAAACCATTTAAGATTTAGTTTTAAGGTCCTAAAGAAATTATAAGAATTGCTATCTTGGAAATGACTAACACTCCATCCAATATAGCATCTTTTGCTTGCTTATACTTGGTTTTGGATCTTTTAGGAGTATTAATTTAATGCACTGCAATTGGCGCTACTGTGCATTAGCACAGATGAACACTTTGTTGTGGCACTTAATGTGCATTAGACTAAGTCTACTGTGCATTAGCAAGCTTTGTGTGTGATGCACTAATGCACAGCAAAATTAGTCTAATGCGCATTTAGAGTCTCATGTAGATGCACCCATTATGCCCCTAACTAAGCAGTTTATAGGAAAGGGATAAGGGGAGAGTGGGAGAATTCTACTTCTCTGCTGATCAGCTTTGCATGATGATAAATAGCCTATTTAAAAAAAATTATAAACCTGGTCATTCCCAAGCAGATTTTATTCATTCAATAAAGTTGCCATAAGTGAATAAGCAGAATACTTAGACCTTTGTGTGTCCAAGTTTAGCTCAGGGGAACTTCGTAATGTGAAGTTAAAAAAAACAAAAAACTGCCTCTACGACAATATGCGTAAAAGCAGAGGTGTTGACCAAACCTTAGTGACTGTAATATGTTCAGTCGTGAGTGCCTCTTACCTGATAAAAAGTGCCATCCTGTGAGCAGACTTGCGAAGATGAGCAGTTCTGACACCGAAACTGCGAAGGAGATGATTTTCTGATCAGATAAGAGGCATCCACAACTGGACACACACATTTAACAATCACTTAAATGTTTTTGTTTCAAGTAAGAGATTTAAAATTAATGTATTCTTTTTAAAGCAGGAAAGCATTTTCTACTGGAATAAATGGCTGTTTTTTCTTAGATTACATTTATCTCTTATAAGGCTCTCAAGCGTTCAATCAAAGACTCAGACTGAACAGTATCAAAGACAGAGATGATGCATTTACATGATCTTTATCCAAAGGAATGGGTCATTAGCTAACAACCACTACAGATACTGTAATACAGTTGGGCATAAAAATCAGATTTGACCAGGGGCAGGGCAAAGTAACCACAGACATTTCTGAAACATTTCATCCAGACAGAAACAGCACCCTAAGACACTGAAACCGCAGTAATGGAGACAGTACTATAAACTGTATAATTTCTACTGGTGTTACTTTGTAGTCTTTGATTAGTGAAGAGTAATTTATAATTATTTACTGTTCTGATTATAAGAAACCTTTGTGAATAAAGTTGACCCTATATTTTCAAGTTCATAAGTTGGAAAATAAATAGCTTCTTCACCAAATATATGTTGACCACTATTACATCCTTGAACTGCTATAAGCCTTAAAAAAAAATAATCAAACAGGAGATGAAATAACCAGGGAAAGAACCAAAAAGGCTAAAAGCAAAATTACTTAAACAAAAAACCAAAACATCTGTTCTAAAGATAATGTTGTGTAAGGCTTGCTCAGTCTTCAGCCTAAAATTACATGTTTATATGTATCAAGACAAATATTTTTTAGTTAAATGGAATCTGTTTCCAGGTTTAAATGAAGACGGTTCCTTAGGAAAAGGCCAGATTCAACTTGCAATTCTGGATTCAAACTTCATATGAGGTGCAGAAGTGAAAGCTTGAATCAAACCAGCTCTGGTTTTAGGAGTAAAAAATCTAAATCTTCCTAATGTTTCAAAGGAAAGGAGAAAGTGGGTGGTTATATTTATAAAACAGCTGTGTGCAGGTGTCAGCTCAGATTTGACCTTTCCTAAAAGTGTAAGCTAAGTAAATTTGGCTAACTTGCACCTGGAAGAACATTATTTTTTAGCTGTCTTGTAACTATTTTAAAATTTAAGCTTAGATAATGTCTAGACTGAACTAAACATTTTCACAATCACTAGTCTATTCCAAATAAATGCAACAGTGCACTGTAAAAAGAACTCATGCATCTTAAACATATCCAACTGTACATGGTTTCCTTCCAGGTCACCGTGAGTTGTTTCCTGGTTCTATGGCTCTAGTGGTGATCTTTCCCAGAGCTGGGGACACACTTTTCAGCTCTCTGCTCCCTGCACTGGAACTGAAGGTCTGGAAGCCTCAAGTTGCCACAAGGCCCTTAGGGCTTACGAGTTCCTGCTCTACCTGATCCCCACTCCAGTGGAGCAAACTAGGGAGACCTTTAGGAACTGCAAAACAATGGTGATCTGGGTAAGCCAGACAAGGTGATCCTTCCCTATATGAGTTGTGTCCGTCAGCAGCATTGCCTCTAAGCTGTGTGGTGCGTGGCTGTGCAGGTGTGCTCATGCTGTGCAGCCAGGTGTGCCTGTGCGGTCACACAGCTTAGAGGCTATGCTGCCTGTCAGCCAGTTGCCATAATAACAGAGCAGATGACCCTGTGCAGCACTCTTAAAGGCCAGTGAGGTTATCTGTTCTGCTGCCCCCAAAAAGAGTACCAATGCAGTGATCTGCTCTTGTATGGTAATAGCTCCATACCAACATACCATATTGTTTAACTGTGATTTTTATGGGAGGTTTGTTGAGGGGAAAAGGTCAATTTATAACTGGAAAAATACAGTATCTAATATAGCGATTCTCAACCTTTTTATACTCAAGGCACTCGTTGAAAATGACAGCTCCTAGCTTTCACTTGTTTCTTGACTACAGAAAAATGATAGAGCAATTCTTATTGCAAAGAATTCAGAAAGATCAGAAAAAGTCAAAATACTTTTGACATTATGAATTCATATTTGAAATCTGTTCAGCTTATCTTGTAAATCATGTGTAGGTGCTTGCACTCAATGTTGTGCAGCACACTGTGTCACACCTGAAAAAATCTTGCACCCTGGTTGAGAATCACTGATTTAAAACAACAAATAAATGTATTGGACAGACAGTCTGCATGCCCATCAGTATCCTTCAGAATTTCACTGACATTTTTCAATCAGAGAGGGGTAATTTGATTGTAGTCCATTTCATTCGGTTGGAGTTTGGTGCCATCCATGAGCATAGAGAAGTAGTTAGCTGTGTTAGTCTGATGTCAGACAGAAGCCAGGGTAGAGATGCACCTTACAAGCTAACTAAGATGTATAGAAAGCATACATATACAGATATCTAAATGCATTTAAAAAGATTTTTTTCTTTGGGTTTCTTTAAGTGAGTGCAAATATGATGATTTGATGAGAATGGTATTCACTGTTGCTTCCAAAGCAATGCAACTGTCAAGTGTCAATGTGTAGACAGGGGCAGGAGTATCAAACACAATGAATGCATTCCAGTGTTACTGATGTTGCCTCATTTTTCCTCAATGTTTCCTAAGAGCACAGCCAATACTAATACAAACTCAGAAGGCTAGCCAAGCATGTATCAACTGGATTCAAAAGGCAATATGGTAAAATACTACTTTTCCCGCTGGTGGTGCAATACTGTATACTATGCAAACATTTTTAACCTTTAGTCCTCATCTATATTCTATATTTGCATAAAAACAAAGAGACACTTTTGAAAGCCCTCTTTCAGTTTTACCTAAAAATAAGAATTTGAAAATTGTACTATCAGCACTGTGCTTAAGTGCTGTCTTCTCTTCCCATGCCAGGATGCTTTTCATAGATTTTATAGACATCAGGGCTGGAAGGGACCTCGGAAGATCATCGAGTCCAGCCCCCCGCCCAAAGGGCAGGAAGTCAGCTGGGGTCATAGGATTTTACCTTCGATTACTTGAAAACCAAACAAACAATGCAGAGGCCCGAGAATTTACTACAGATTTCCATGTTAAACTATGGGTGTGTCTACATTGAGATGTGTTAATGTGCATTAGCCTCATTTAATGTGTATTATAGGCATGGGTCTATTCATGCGCGCCCTTAATATGCATTACAATGGCGAAATAAGGCTGATTAGTTAAAGCTCATTAATGCATGTGTAGACCCAACCTGGCACTAAAGTTAGTGCCAGGTCTGCCCAGCTACTAGGGGCACATGGCAGGGCTTCAGGGACTTGGCACTGACTTTAGTGCCAAGTCCTTGCACGTGTAGACACTTGCAAAAAAAAATTTAAAAATCTGCTTAATGACCCTTAAATGCATCACGTTTAAATGCATGTGCTGATGTGCCCTATGACTAGTATTTAACCTTTGCTGCACCCATATGAAGTCTCCATTTTTATACCCAAAGGCAACTACTTTGCACATACAAAACCATATAGGTATACGGCATTCATAAACAAATGAATATATACAAGAAAAAAAATAGACAGTTAAGGATGGGCGGAGTTAATGGTAACAGATAGCCTAAGGGCTGTTAACTCAAACTGAACATTGTAGTCTGTCAGCTATTCTAAATGTATATATTCAGGGGAAAAAAAATCTGAGCCGTCTTAGCTAGAGACAATTTTTTATATATTCGTTCTATGAGATTCTTAATATAGAATTAAAACAAGTAATGGTGAAAATAATATAAAATGATCTGCCTCAGCTAAATGCCCCCATATATTAATGCAAACAGATAGGTAAGATACATAGATTTTGAATGCAAAACCGTTAGGCACAAATTCCTACATTATCATTAGTTGAGATCCTAGTATTTTAAACTGAAAGAAAAAAATTCCAAGAATAAAATGAATACTTCTATTTTTAGATCAGAACTGAACTCATTCAAACTTTGTATTCCTGCTAAGTTCTATTTCCCCAGCTGGGCAGTAATTGGATGATTCTGATTTAAATCAAATTGATTTAAAATCGGGATTTAAATCACTGGGCAGGAAGCCTTGATTTAATCTTTTTGTAAAAAAAAAAAAAAAAAAGGGAATTTTTGTTTGATGTCCTCTATTTTAGTTAACTTCTTGAAACTTTGCACTTTGAGAGAGAGGTAAGGGCTTGACTCTGTACACAAACTTGCAGAGAAACAATAGGGCTAACAGGTACGGTCTGTTACCTCTCATCTCCATATACACAGAGATGCTTAATGGGATCTTCTACACTGAGAATTGAGTCCCATTGGTAAGAGTGGTTTGCTGTAATTTTTACTAATCTATAGAGGAGCCTCTGGGAACCCCATAAGATTGGGCCCCTAATATACTCCTCTTGTGACCTATTTATAATACTTTTCTAAAAAGGTTATATGACTATATTGTCTCAAATAGTACTTAATTAGAAGTCATAATCCCTATTCCATGATGATACATTTGAGTTTTAACATATCTTCAATTAAAATTATGTTTATATAGGGTGTTTTTTTTTAAAAAGCATCTTCACAAAAAAAAAAATCAAAATACGATAAAAAATATATATATTTTATTCTTAAAAAATTGTTGATTTTTATCCAACCTGGGCAGCATCCCTAGTTTAGAGTTTCATTAATTATATTAAGAAGCCTAAGAGGAGTTATCTAGAGAGTATCTGAGATTAATTTTTAAATAAAAATTTTGCAAGGGTCTTTAGATAACTTTTGGACCAAGCCAAGAAGACAAATACCCTGTACGTCCATCCATCTATATACAGCTATACATAAATAATAATTAATGATGCAAAATTAAAAATGTATTTACATTTTCTCCTCTGAGTCTCCATCTTGTCATATAGATGAATTCCATAGTATGATCCTTCCCCATGATTTCTCCATTGCATAGTACATCCAGCTTAAACATAATAAAATAAAGCACTCAATCCAATCGGTAAAGAATGTTAACGTTCTAGTGAAATTGTAAGTGAAAATCTCTGAACCAATTAGGTTCATAAAAATACATTAAGAGTTTCTGATGAATGTATGTACCATACACTGACTGGTGACCCCAGAAATGGTGAGATGAAAAACATCGAAGGAATCATGACTTGTTCACGGAGCATGTAATGGGGAGGAGGGTCACATAAATACCTAAGATAGATGAATTAGTCTGTAGTCTGGGCTGTTTTTTATATTACACAAGGAAAATAAAGGATCACCCAGGCAACTACAGAATTGGTACATGTTAGTCAATATCCCTTTCTTCCTAGAAGCTACTGTTGTAATACTTGACAAGTGAATTTTGTTATTAATCATGTATAAAGATGAACAAAAAAGCATATACCTGTATGTCAAAATAACTTGAAAAGATACCTAATTATATGTCTATCGCTCTAAAGTTGAGCAACAAAAATTATAAAAACCATACAGCACCTTGGCTAAGCATCCTTCAATGAGTATGGCTAAGCAGCAAGATTTGGAACACCTTGAATAGGTGCTCAAAGTTATCTTGTACCTAATGCTTGTGATAAAAAAAATCCTAATTTAGCTGAAATTTAAATTTAAGGCAGATTTAATTTTAATAGTGAACTAATACCTTCTGGGGGATTCAAACAAAAATCGAGCTTGGTTCTCTTAAACTTACCTCATAAGAACTTGGAAGTTTTAATTTTAAACTGAGAAACTTTTTGATAGTTCCCACAGTCACTCGTGTAGAACAACGGATGAATTTCTTCATTAAACCCTGAAAGAATAAAATTAGAAAAGGGATGTTGGATATTTTGAAGCTATTCACCTTCATCTTTGGTTAGGTAGCATATAAGCAACTTTTGGTACAAAAGCATCTATTAGTATGAGTATGAGCTGCTTTACTGGTGTCCAATTTTAGTGTGTTGATTTAACTTATAAACCAGTACAAGAACTAAGATACATTCTGGCTAATTTTCTTTGAGGGAAATCCCTAAAAATAATGCTTTTCAAGCCAGAGCAAAGCAGCAAAAAGTACAGATCTATCTGGGCTGGGGAGATTAATTTTTTGGATACACAGTGCAGAGTGAGACACACATACCTTGCTCTGCTAGTTTAAAACAAAAGCTTTTCTGCTACATGACAGTTTCAAACAAGAAGTGTTATGGGCAAGGATATACTGACCTACCAAAGAAAAGATTCTGTAGTATGTGCATAGGGAACTGTTTTGCTCTTACCCAATTATTTTATAGTCTTTTTTTTTTTTTTACCTGTATTTTGATATCATATTTTCTCAGATACAGAAAACCCCTTTCCATCCAAAATCAGCCCCCTATGGTAAAGCTTCAAATACCTCATGTGCCAAAACTAACCAAAGGCTCTCTATAAAAGCAATTTTAGAAATAAAGGGCCGTATGCATACAGTACAAAGCCCTATGTTGTATAGTCACATGCCAAATTCTCTCACATACAACATGCGCAAAATCAGCATCCCAGAATTGGGGTGCATTACCTGGGGTAGCCGATTTTCTGCCCACGATAGAAACACCCTACTTTGATTCCTGATTACAATGCAGCAGCTGTTGCATTACAATTCAGGCAGCTGAGGACAGTTGACTTAATGGTTCATTGTTCTTCACTCCACAGATATTAACTAGATCATCTCTCTTTCTTAATGTTCTTGATGTTCCCCTAATCAAGCTAAACTTCCTTTGGGCAATTTTTCTATCTGCTAGCTGCTCCTGGTCTCTCTCTTCCTATTTCACTGTATTGGAGACCTTAGCTCTTTCTCAAAGCATAGATCTACCCATGGAGACCAGGCTTTAGGTGCAGCTAGGGTTTCTGCTTTACTTAAACAGGAAAGGTAGGACGAGTCAGCTGAAGATTATGAAGCCATATCTCTGGAAAAATCTTTTTTGTATTCATTCTGCCTTTCAAAAACAAGGTGCATATTATACTTAAGAACATTTTCAGGTGAGAAAACGTGGTGATTTGACAGTAAAATCCTAAAGAACTTACCCCTAGGCTGGATACTCTTAGCCTTAGTCTCCCCTTTCTATTTTTCTACAAATAGAAAAATTCACTTACCCCAGGTTACAGAAAACTAGTGTCAGAACCAGGTCAGGTCTGTTCTAAGCACCCAGAAGGCACTGCCATAGTTAGACTGCCTTCAGTACCCAAGCTAGCTGACTTATGGATAACTGCTGTATACCAGTGTACTTTCAGTTTGTGGGTTAAAATTACAAAATGCTCTTTTGTAAGAGTATTAGGAAAATATTAAGCCAGTTTCTGCTGAGGAAAAATCATAAGAGAATGGGGTATATTAAAATATGCTTTTTACATTGGTTTATTATTGCAATTCTCAATGAGTTTGAAACATACTACTATAAAGGCTTACAGAGACGATTAAGCCATAAGTGAGTAAGTTTATGGGCAAGCAATTGGAAATATTCCAAGAAACTTTGAAATGTCTCAACTCACAAAAGGATTCAGTAGCTTGGGAAGTGCAGATGGATGCAGGTTATCAATTCTGCAAAACTCTCCCCTGTAGACATTTACCTTAGATTGCTATGAGACCCGTCGGGCCCCTAATGATAAGACATGGCCAAAAACAATAAACAGCACAAATTCTTTGCAACTCACTTTCACTACGTTATCCCCTGACTGTCCATTGTTACGTAAACAATCCAGGCAAATAGCAATCTGTGGGTCACTCCTATGATAGTCTTTATCTTCCTGATTTTCATCACCCTCTTCATCTACTTTGGGCTTATCAGATTTTGGATTTTCATCTGTAACATAAAAATCAGATTATTTATGTATAATATAATTAACAGTCAAATGCAGTATCTGGGACTGAATCCATACCCCCCCCCCCGAAAATTGAGGCTTACTACTGAAATCATAATTTATTATGCATATGAAGGATATTCATTTTATAGGGAATGGTTAGGTTGGGGGCTAGTAGTCATTATGGATGACATTTTATTCATTTCTTTCCAGTAAAATATTGTAAGTGCCTTTCATCTTAGAGAAGGACAGCTAATACAACTGGTAACCTATTTTAAGTCTTCTGCTTCTTGCAGTTGAGACATACCATGTATAACCATGTGCTCTTATCATTGTTACCTTTGCCTTCTGTCACCCCTTCCTTTCATTAATTTATTATATTCTATGTTGCATCTTAATTTACAATGAAAACTCTTCAGAACAGGGACCATCTCCTACCATGTAGGTATAAAATGTCAAGTATAGTAGAGCCCCAGTGCTATTTTTGGAGGGTTACTATACTGGATATAATAAAAATCATACAGGAGAGGGAAACTGAGTGTTTTTAACTGGTTTAGCTTTTGATAGATCTGGAAGACAGCATACAAGAATTCTAACACATATACCTAACAGTACTAATTGCTGACTCCCTCTGCTGTAATTCTGTGGATACTAGCAAAAGCTGAGCACTACAGGCACAACACATGAAAAGAAGATATTTAGGTAGCTAAGGTGCACAGCAGTTACCAAAAAATGAATAGCTATTAAATAAAAAAGTAGCCAAAAGAACAGTTCTGACTTACAGTAATGCAATAACTGGTGTATGAGATGGCCAAATAACTGAAGTGGATTACTTTTTGACTCATCTGGTACGGTTTTCTTCCACAAATAACTTACACAATTCTGTTCTACTTTAATAAAACTAGCTAACTAAAACTTCAAGCTAACTAAAACTAGCTAACTAAAACTCCAATTACATATGTTACTCTATAGCGAACTAGTGTAATTTTGTTCATATTGTCCTTCAGGCCAGCATTAAAATCATTAGTAGGGGAAAAAAAACAAACCCTGCCACTTGTAATGTTTGCCAAATGCAAATAAGAAAAACTAGTGAGAATTAAAATGTTAATTTCAAACTGGAAAGAACATATTACAAACAATGGAGAAGAAAACAAATACTATAAAATGAATACTTGATAAGGCTTCTTTAAAATAAACAATTGTTACTTTGGCTTGATAAAGGTTTTTTTTAAAAAAATGGTTTACATGAGTTAAATATGCTGTGGTATCTAAATGATGAAGCTGAATTAAAGAACACAAAAACCCCTTGGATGATCTGTATTACTTATCAGCTCAATAAAGAACTTTCAAAGTTCACAGCTCTACTACTGAAAGACAGTCATTCTGGAATCTATATAAAACAGTTGTTTAACACTTGTGGAAAAACAGTTTTGCTATATGTCATAACTAATTCTTGACAACCTCCTACTAAACAGCTGGTCAAATTTGATAACAGAAAATAATCTGAACATAAAGACTCAAGTAGTTCTGTGTCACTGCATGGTGGATTATAACTAGGATCAAAGTAGAAAATATCAAGTAGTGTGAAAGATATTAAAAATTCAGAGTGGAAAATGGTATGACTGTTAAGTGTGAAGGTACTTGGCAATTCAATTGAAAATAATACTAAAATCATTATTGCTGTTCAACGTTGAACCACAGCTCTCATTCTGCAAAAGCTAAATTTTATGTATCTCTATATAGCCACTAAATTCAATGCAACTGTGCCGATGTAGAAATAAGCACAGGATTGGGGTCAGTCAGGAAAGCCATTATCTAACACAAGTTTGGCCAACTGATAGCTCATGAAGGGTCAAGCTGTGGTTCCCTAGCTTATGCCTGGCTGCTGCTTTCCCCCAGTGCTCTGGCTGCAACAGCTAGTCTCCAGGCTCCACCTCTGTCCTCCAGCTTTTACTGCCTGCCTTTGCCCCTGTCCCTACCTCTGTATAGAGTGCAGTGGGCAAGGGGAACCCGTGTGGTACCCCAGAGGGTGGTGCAGCCCAGAGGTCCTATGGCTCATGCTGGGATTGGTTTAAGGGTGTGCTGTTTTGCTGATGCAGCTTGCGGGACATTTGGTCCCCAGTTGTTTATAGTTGGACACCCTGACCTAACAGATACAATACAAAATGTATTGGTGGGGGGGCAGGAGGGAGAAGGAAGGGCAGAAATCACCTTGTCCATTTTCTTGAGGTTTGTTTTTCCTCCAAAATTCGATCTCACGCTGTAGTTCCTCTAGTAAGCATCAAACAAAAGCAGTGTGATTTTTCAGCAATATAGAAATATCACTAGAAATTACTTTCTAATACAAAAAGGTATAATACTGAATTAGAAACTTACGTTCTCGAAGTCCGGGCACCAGTTTGAATATAATTTCTTCTAATGTGTTATCTAGCCTTTCATAGGAAAAAAAATTATTTCAAATAAAGAAAAGAACAAATACAACCAAAAAAGATAGCAGAACATTAAAAGTAATTATATGACAATACTCTGGTAAGTAATACATCATTCACAATCCTACAGATTTTAGCAAGGAAAGGAAGAGTGGAAAAGTATTCACATTTATCTCCCTTCAGCCATTCCTGGAACATATTTGTTTTAGACTTGGATACAGTAATAGCAGATATCAGCATTAAAACAGAGGAAGAAAAGGAGGAAAGAAAAGTGAAAAATCAATCTGTATAAAATATTAATTGTAGTATTCAAATTTTTGCCACAAGCAAATCATTGTGTAAAGCAGTTTACTTAAAATTTGAAACAAAAATTAGAAAAATTATAAAATGCAGTCAAACAAACCAATTTGAAGATGCTGACTTGTGTACTATATAAGCAAACTTTAAACAACCACTGACCATACTATTTCCCTGTAAATTTCCCATTAAGACTTTTACCTCATGGACTAAAAAAAAAAAAGCAATGGCATAAAGTATTATAATAAGCATTCTTAAAATTCCCATGACCACAGTAGCTAGGTACCATAAAATACACCAATAGTACTCTAGCTCAAAAGGAAAAAACTAACCCTAATGAAAATTGTCAGAGGATTAATTTACATAGACACACAGACAAATGTTATGTTTAAATAAGTTATGGTTATGGCACATAATAAAAGGAAGGCTGCTTAGAGATAAAGCTCCCTCAAATATATTTTCATTTTTGCATGTGTAAACAGACTACAATAACTGAACCTTGTACTGAAGTTGTTTGCTCAAATATCTATGAAGAAAGAGAAAATGTTTTTGCTATCATTTCCAGCAGTACAGCTAGAAATTTAGTATCTATGACAGTATTTTCATATAGCAACAAAAGCCATTTATCTAGAACAATCCCACCTACACTGATATGACAAATAGATAATCTGAACATTTTAAAATATATTTGTACTATGGGACTGGAAATTGTAGGCTATTTTAAAAATAATGTAACAGTTCCATAATACATTATTCTATTTTGATTAGAAGACTAAATCCATGGGACCAACTAAATGGTAATATAAAGTGAGGTGCGGATAGATGTAAATGACAGTGTGGCATAGCTTGCACTGATATGGCATTTACAGCCTGTATCTGGATATTCACTAGGCTAAATCCTTGGTTTCTTTTCTGGTTGCTTTGCTATATACACTAATTTGGAACTTGGCCAGTCCAGGATCAAACAGAATGGTGGCCTGGAACCATCACTCAGCTTCCCCTTAGCTACAGTAAGGTAAACTTCACACAGCTGAGGGAGCCACCAGATGTCAAATCAATGCAGGTTAGGCTACTTTATCATTTAACAGTGACAGTTACACCCAACGCTTAGTTTACATCATCTAGAGATATCTGTAAGATTGGCACCTCCTTTGACCAGATTTAAATTAAGTCAGCAGATTCTATTCCCAGTTTTTAGCATCTCCAGGTCAGATGCAGCCTCAGAGAAAAACTATATATTGTACTGCATTTTAGGTTAGGGACTCATACACACAAGCATTCAGGATATGTCTTCACTACAGCTTACCATATGTCTTCACTACAGCTTACCATATACTGTGGAGACACTCAGGCCAATGTTAAATGAGCTGGCTCAGATACCAAACCTGACTCTCACAATGCAACTGGATGTAATAAATCCATGCATTGCTGCTAACTTGGTTCTCCTAAAGGCAGTTCAGTTCCACACCAAGATATTAGACATTACCAACTCAAAATGTCAGGCTAGCAAAATAAGCTGTTTGAAATATCATACAAGACGGCATTATCTGAGACCCTTAACTTATGATTATTTTCTTTTTAAAAGTACACCTAATTTGGTACTATAAAGTCAGCAGAAAAAGAAAACTGAGGGACCCAACTTCAGTTTAAGATTGTGTGTACAAATTTGCAGCAAAAAATTACTTACAAGTCTCTCATAAAGTGCACAGCGGTTCACTACCTCTTGCTCATGAGGGAAGAAAAGTTAGACAGGAAGAAGATAGAAATGATTTACTGTTGGTGAATGGAGAAAGCCCATTTCAATAGGGAATACTTCTTGTAACTAATATAAAAGAAAATCTGGAATTCTTATGACAAAATCTATTTCTAATTAAAAAGATCAAATTCTGTCATCAAAGCATCTTGGTCCAAAACCACTATTCAATCTTTTGTACTATGGTCCTGGATTATCATGTTATGTTATGAAGATAGCTTTGCCACAGCATTTTTCATATTCAGTGCCTCAGTAGATTTCTTCTGGGTCTGATTCAATGAGAAGTAAAGAAATAGTAAGTCTCCAGAATCTCACATAAGCCACTCTAAGTTGTAAAAGAAACTCACAGAGTTGGAGGGAAAACAAAAGTCCCAGCAAGTTGAAACACCCTGTTTTGAACGTTGTCCTCAGAAGCCTGTTAGCCCAGGCCAAATAACACCAAAGGTCCTTTTATTGTCTCAAGTCTGAAGGCTTGGTTCAACTAGTAAGCACTGCTTCTCCTAAGGTACCACGCTTAGTTGTGTTGGGAAGGGGTATCTTCACTTGGGGTTTCCAAAGACTGGCCACCACACTGAATTTTACTTGCACCTCCATCTGAAAACAAATGAGCTCCTAATTCTTCAGAATGGTATACAAGCCCAGAAAATCCCCCTTCCCCCATTTTAATACTCTGCCCTTACTTAAAGATGTGAACTCCTTGCCTGGTGCTGTTTATCTTGGGGATAAAGAAATTGTCAGTGCTGCTTAAACTGCAAGAAAACCATCATACTTCGTAAGTTTATAATGTTAGCATGAAGAGCTAGCTTCCTTGTCTATAATTATCTTTACTTTTCAAGTAAGTAAACAAAACAAATAGAGCCACTTGACATTTGTTATGTAAATGCATTAATGTTAATCAGACTGACAGGCAAAAAATGCTACAAAAAGTAACGTATCATTCTGACTTTTGCAAATAGCAAATGACATGAACCCCCTCCCACCCTCCCAGAAACCTACAGAAAAGGTTTTTTTCAGGTCATTTTTCAGGTATTATTTACAATATTACTGTCATAAGAAGGCTTTGAAAAGCAATGAAAATTTGTCTTTTGTAGTGTACCAAACATCCTAAAATGAAAATTATTTTAGGTAACTCCAAATCATCTTTTTTGTCATTTGGCACTTCCACTAAAAGCTGAAACAAGACTATATAAAGTTAACTGTAGTTCTCCACCACACCCTTGTCCAAAAGTTCTCTCAAATAGAACACAATATAAAATAAAACAAGGTAAATATCAGCTTTTTTTTATACCTCAAATTTCTATTTTACCCAAGCAAACAACTCTTTGTTATGAAATATTCTGTAATGTGACAAATTCAAGTATCATTAGTGTTCACTGGCATACACAGAACAAGCTGGCAAAAGAAAGTGATTCAGTATTCATGGCGCACCCTACTGATTTCTGGCACATAACTTTGGTTAGGTTGTGAATACAGGACAGGGCCCATAGTAATTCTAAGAATTCAACAATTGAACACCTTCAAGAGGAAATTGGATGCTTATCTTGCTGAGATCCTATGACCCCAGCTGACTTTCTGCCACTCAGGCGGGGGGGCTGGGCTCGATGATCTTCCGAAGTCCCTTCCAGCCCTAATGTCTATGAAATCTACTGTCTGAGCCCCCAAAGTTTGGAACAGAGTGCTGCTGGAGGTGGCTCAAGCACCTGCTTTGAACACCTTCAAGAGACATGTGGATGTTTATCTTACTGGGCTCCTGGGATCCCTGCTGACTTCCTGCCCCTGGGGCAAAGGGCTGGACTCGATGATCTTCCGAGGTCCCTTCAAGCCCTAATGTCTATGTAATCTATGAACAGTTCCCATGTTATGGAAGGGCACAGGATTTCAATCAACTTTATAGGACTTAAAATCCCTGTACAATTAATATTTAGGACACCAATAACTCAGAAATATCTGTATTTCAAAGATCTTGTAAGATCAAATTTGCAACAATATAAAATCAATTAACAGAAATCAATATAAATCAATTCATAGAAAAGTATAGCTGGAAAGGACCTTCACAGGGCATCTAGTCTAAACCTCTGCCTGATCACCCCTATCCAAACCATCCTACACAAATCCATGGTCTAATTTATTAGTAGAACTACACTGTCAAGTCTGACACAACCACAAGGCACAACACCCTAACCACCACAAGCAAAGCAGGGGAAAAACAGTGGCCAACATCCTGATGCTGTGAGGGTTGTTAAAATAAGCTCATAAATTCCAAGGAAAAGGGCCATGTCTCCTGATACAGGAGGCAAAAATGCTCAGTCTGTACCAATCTGACCACGGGGTAAAATTCCTTCCTGAACCCAAATATGGTGATCAATCTGACCCAAGCAGAGGGGCAAGAACCTACAGGCAGGAACCTCTGGGCTTAAGTCCCAACAAGAGCAATGGCACACTTCAGTCAAAATCCCAAGTTCGACAGTAGTCACACACAATGCTTCTGAGGGAGGTGACTCCCCCACAGCCTGTATAGCAACAGGAGGGGGGAAATATCCCTCCCAGCCCCACGTGGCAACCAGCAAAGCCCAGAAGCATGAAAAATACCTACAGTAGAACACAGACATAGCAATTCTTAAGATCATTCTTGATCAGTGCTTGTCCATCCTCTTCTTGACCACTTCCAGTGATGGATATTCCACAACTTCTGGATAGTTTATCTCACCGCCTTACTGTTCTAACAGTGAAGTGTTTCCTGATATTCAATCTAAATTTACTTTGTTGTAATTTCAAGCCATTGGTCTGCATCCCACTGCAGCAAGAGTGAAAAGGTATTTTCTCTCTTTGTGACAGTCCGTCAGATATTTGAAGGCTGCTATGATGTCTCTGTCTTGAATATATTACTACCAAGGGCTCTCACATTTCCTCTGCCATTTCCCTCATTATCATCAAAACTTTTTTTGTTCATGGTGCATACCTTATAGACCTATTTGCTTTAAGTTAAACATATATATGCAGTACTTACTGCCATATTGCATGAAATTATCGCATTTTTAGGATACGATATGATAGGCATTCAGAAAAGTCAGAATAAATTATGTACATTAACCATGTTGTTAACATCAGAAAAGAGATAACACTATTGACTCATTCTTCTTGTTAGTTCAATTTTTTAAAATATTTTAGAATACATAAATAATCTAATAAATTATTGGTTTTATGCAGTCTTTTGGCAGAATAAACCAAGTTACCATAAAAGAGATATCAGGAAGGTTTCCAGAGAAAGTGTCTCTTTCTGCACATCTGGCTAAGCTTTTCTCACCCTGGTTAGAATACATAATGATTTTGCAGACCACTATGTAAATCAAAAAATGTGTCTTCTGCAGAAGTGAAACTGACAAATTAATTGTGAACTGTATATACTATATAGTATCTTCTGGGTAGACAATCACAATGTGAAACAACTATAAACATTCTTTCTTTATAGACAGATGGACAGATAGATAAAGAAAGCCTTCTACAAAAGGTATATTCCCCCACAAGACTGGAAAGATGGTTCTTAAGACATTCTCTAACAAAATTGGTTAGAGGAAATTAAATTGCATCTTCCCCATTTGCCTATCTAGTAAGTAATTTAAGCGTGTTATTCTCCCACAAACTGTTCTACACACTCAAACATCTTACCACAAAGCCTGGAGATCTGTAGTTACCACAAGGGAATTAACAAATACACTCAACTCAGACAAGGCCAATGCCTGATCATTTGTTCATATACTGACATCAAAAGGACATTTTTTTTTCAATGTTGATCATTAGCTCTATCGGTAGAATATCTTACAAAATAACACCTTAGAAAACAATAACAGCATATAAAAAAAAATATTTTTTATTCATATGCAAGGCAAAGGATAGAGAAAAAAGATTATAGTCCACCATGCTTCCTCAAAGATGAACACTCATATCAAACTGGTTTGTTCAGCATGGATCAGGCACTTATTACAGCTTGCCTTAGCTTAGATTATATAAATTCAATTACCAGTGTCATTACCCAAACAAATAACAAATAACATATCCCACATTCTCTCCATTAAGGATTACAGTGGACTATGGTGTTTGGCATCTCAAACAACCTATAGGATTTTATACTTATCTTTTGGCTTCTTCCAATAGTAAATACTTTACAATGTGGAAAATCAATTATAGACATAAATGTGAACATTTTCCAGGAGTAGCCTCCTCAGTCTCCAAAAGCTACAACCAGTGACTAATGAAGACTGTTCAGTGAAGTAGTCGAGATAGATATTATAGATATGGAAATGTTTTATACCTCTGACTGCAAGTTATTTTCATCCCTTGTTAGTTCACAAAATTCTGTTAAAATAAATATTTCTCTTGAGACACTAGATTCTTCTGAGAGAATCTTCTCTTTTAAATAAAGGCAGTAACTACCTCATATTTATAAGAAAGAAATCAAGAAACACCTCATTAGGAATGGAGGAACTCATTTTTCCTGTAACTTGTGAAGATCCCATTTATGGGACATCATAATTTGCCAGGTTTGCTATTCCTATTTCATAAAATATCAACACTGAAATCCTTTAGGATGAAGAGCACTGTGTGCGCCTTGTACGAAAAGGCGATTTCCAACTAGGTGAGGTCTAAGACCTTGAATGAATCAAAATTCTATAGCTGATTAATCAAACTTTAATGGTGTTGTAGCCCAGTGGGACATATAAAGTTTAATGCCAATTAATTTACTAGCCTAAATCAAATAATCATCTGCATAGGTAAACATACTATATGCAATCCCGTTGAACCAGTTAACTGGAAAAGGGAAACTCTTTGGAAATCTGATCCAAGGCTGTAAGAAACAGAGATAACAGACTTAAAATGCAGACACAGAAATGGCAGTTTCTGAAATGCTTTTCAGGGAATATATCAAGTTTGTACCACTACTCTTTTCCTAGTTACAATATAAACTTCTTATTTCTAACATGGATGATCAAAAGGCTTTCTCCTTTTAAATTATCTTAATCTGTATAGAGGTCTGTTAAGATAACAATTTTCACTTTTCTGCCCAAACATCTGAAGTCAGGAAAGAAATACAAAAGATGAGAGGGAGAGCTTTATTGAAGGGTTAGGGTTAGGTTTTTAGCTACTTCGGTGGTTGTATAGTACTGTTCTGCTATACTTTAGCCATAGTTGGGTATCCAGTTCATTTTTATTTTATTTTTTTTAAATTAAGGATATCAAGAACTTACACACAGAAGTGTTTTTTAGCATTTGTATAGATTCATAAAATGAAATTTCCTCAGAATAAAAACCGTATTAAGGAATTTTTAAAAAGCACCATTCCATATATTTAATCAAACTTTGTTTAATGCCGTCTTACCTTAACATTTCTAATGGATTGGTCTCGTGCACCTGATTGCCACATCTGGGGCAATCATTACTGTCTTCAAAGTGCTGAACAATACAAGTCTTACAAACTGTACAAAGCAAAAATAAACAGTGTTAGGCAAAATGTGACCAATGCAGCACTTTTAGATCAAGAAAATATTATTGTTCACAAATGACCTACTATAAAAAAAACAACCAGACAAAAACAAAACAAAACAACCAGGCCAGTGTTAACTAGATAATGTAGCAAAAACTAGAGAGGTAACAGACAACGTACTCTTTTGTACTGTCCTGTTCCCCGAAGTCATGACTAGCTCTGCTCTGTGATTATATTATTGTATTGAGTCAATCAGAACAGGTTAGGCAAGTTCTAGTTCTAATTTTAATTCTTGTTATTCTAATTATAATCCTCACAACATTACAGAATGCATAATCACACCACTTAGTCCTTAATCAAGGTCCAAGACAGAGTGTACTGAAAACTACAGTACAGCAGGAGCTAACTATGATTTTAAATCTGTTTTTGAAAATTCTAGAGTTCTCAAAAATCCGACACTTTTTAAAAATACACTACATCGGGGAGTAGCGGTAGCTGGTCCCGGAACAGCGGCTGCACGTGGAGCGGCAGTGCAGGGTGGTGGATGCAGCTGCTGGGTACAAGCTTCCCCCTCCGTGTCCGGGGTGGCGGCAGGTGGTTGCAAAGCAGAGGCCGAATGTGGTTTAAAAAAATCTGGAATTTTCAAATTTCCAGCAGGTGCTAGGTCCCAAAAATGCCGGATTTATAAGGTTATACTGTATCTTTGCTCTTTTAGAAAGTATTAGATAAAATTAAATATATAAGAAAAGGGTCCCAAATGTAGAAGCAAGTTACGTTTCTTCTAAGATGTAAAGGCCTTCAACATTAGTGATGTCAGGACTGATGAACATCAGTATATGAATCTTAATATCCAGAACAGATTCATTGATACTGCATTAAAAACCCAACAGTCATTTAATCCTATAAACTGTTACTAAACCAAGCACAGTATTGCAACATGTTTTCTTCTAAACACAATTAATTACAGACTTTACTGTCATTAATACTAAAAATGATACAAAACTTGTTAAGACCTGATAGGTTGGTTCTTACATGTGTAATTTTTCACCTACACTGAAACAACAATTGCAAATAGTTTAACAAATGGACATAAGTAGTGTTGGCAATTCCAGTATAGCTTCTGCTGATATAACTTAAAAGTTTTACCATCCAAAGACCCAAGACCACTTCTAAAAAAAATTGCTAAAAACTATGGACATAGAGATTTCTGAGGAACTCCTAAAATCATCACAAAAATAAAGTCAAACATTTAATAATTTGGGCAGCCAGTACAGCAGGCCAACTGGACATTCAGGAAAGTTAAAGCAAATTAGCTAAAGTTGTGAAATTAATGCACATACATTAACATGCATTAAACCTGTATGTGGACACTAACAGGGATTCAGTGCACTTTAACTTGTGTACATTAAACTTAATAGCTTTAGCTCAGCAGCCAGAAACATTAGAGACGCAGGTGGGAACAAGTTGGATAGGGTCCAAAATGGGTTGGCGCTCCAACCTGATTGCCACTGTTGCTTCTCCCTGGTCCCCTGCTATATTGATAGAACATATGAATGTTATGAAATTAGAGATCCACATCTGTATACTAGCTGATGAGCATATTTTCTTTCCAGATACATTTAGCAATTTAGTTCTGTTAGCGGCATTTTATATGAATGGTGTATAGTTATGACAGTGACTGAAGAACAAGTGAGAGAACAAGGAGGTACCAGCAGTCAATACCGTTTACTAAGCTTGCATCTTCTGATAATGTAGTGCCACAGAACTTGGCAAGTTCTAACAACACTTCACTGATAGGTGTTACTATTCTATGTGGTAATGAAAAAAGACGCATATCTAATAATCTGTATTTTTTACTGACTTTTCCTACTGGGAAGTGTGAATTCTCAGCCATTTTTCTGAAAATATCTGGAAAGCTTTTATAATAATCAAAGATAACAATGAAGACAGTTACTTTATTGGGAGAAGACTGAGATAGAGTTGCTGAAGGAAGATTGGTTAGAGCATGTCGCTTTTCTTTTAAAGTAAACTGTTGGTGATGTTGAGGAGAATGCTGAGGCTGAAGATTTCTGGGGTCTGCAAGATCCAATGGATGCGCTGAATTGAGATCTGTGCATCTCAAAGAACAGGGCATTTAATGTGATGATAATGCCATGGAATCCAGTGCAACCATTAGCAGCATCTACATGAAAATTAAGTTGAAGGCTATATATGGGATATTTTCTGTCTGTTCGGTCTTTCTGCCCGAGAACAATATTCGAGCTGAATTTCTGATGAAAAAGCAGGGTGTTAAGTGAATGATGATATTTGTCTGTCAACTTTGAAGGCAGATGAAAATGATGAACAAGAACATTTTTTTCACAAATGGAGAAGCTGCTCTCTGAGGAGCTCCTGTTTCTATATGAACACAGGTATGGCAAAGGTAGAAAAGATGTTTTAAAAGTTGTCTTACCAGAAACTAAGGATGGACAAAACATCTAACTGAAAAATGGCTTTTCCTAAGCAAACAGGACAATGACCACTGTAAATGTCATTGGGAATAGTGTAGACTCTTGTGTTGAGTATGCATTCTTTTGCCTTGCATTACAGTAGCTTTAGTAGGCCTTTGGGTGTATTAAGCAAGGCCAAATGAGCATAATTTTTTCAGAAAAGACTAGCCAGTCTTAAGACATCAAATCTTTATTAAGGGTTCAGGTCAGTGTGTTGTAACTCAACCAACAGGAAGACACAATTACATTTCCTTTCTGACCAAATATGTCAAAAAATTTTCATCAAGTCATGCTATAAGCCTTCGTTTAAGGGGATAAAAAGGGGGCTCAGTGCTCTGAGATGACTTCCTCTGTCATCCTTTGCCAATACTCCTGTCTGCAGGCATAACAAAGATCCAGCACCCCTTAGAAATTATTCTCTCACTTTGGGTAAAACTCCCTTACCTGGCTGGCCACCAGTTACAAAAAACGAAGAATTTTAAGATGCATAGATTCTAAGTTGTAAAAGCCTGCTTATTTCTGCTTGAATCATAAAATTATATCCAGATGTATGCTGTGCTGTTTTTTATTTTCATAGATTTCATAGACATTCGGGCTGGAAGGGACCCCAAAGGATCGGGTCCAGCCCTTGACCCAGGGGCAGGAAGTCAGCAGGGATCATAGGATCCCAGCAAGATAAACATCCAAATGCGACTTGAAGGCGTTCAAAGTGGGTGCTTGAACCACCTAGTCTATTCCAAACCTTGCGGGAATGGACAATAAGTAAGTTCTTCCTTATGTCCAACCTGAATCGGTCGTGGTGGTTTGTGACCGTACAATCTTGTCATACCTTGGGGTGCTCTGGGGAACACACGTTCCCCCAGATCCTGGTGAACAGCCCTGATAAATTTGTAGGTGGCCACCAGATCACCCCTGAGCCTGTGATTTTCCAGGCTGAAGAGTTCCATGGCTCTCAGCCTGTCACCATAAGGTCTGTTTTCCTGACCTCTGATCATGCGCGTGGCTCTTCTCTGCACTCTCTCAAGCTTCTCCATATCCTTTTTGAATTGTGGGGCCCAAAACTGGACGCAGTACTCCAGCTGTGGCCTCACCAAGGCCAAGTATAACGGGAGAATGACGTCCTGGGATTTGCTTGAGAAGCATCTATGGATGTAAGCCAGCGTTTTGCTCACTTTACTAGCTGCAGCATCACATTGAAGGCTCATGTTCATCTTGTGGTCAATCATGACCCACAAGTCCCTTTCATCTGTAGTGCTGACCAGCGTATCACTGCCAAGCCTATACGCAAGCTGCAGGTTTTTCTTCCCAAGGTGGAGAACCTTGAATTTTTCGGTGTTAAACACCATCAGGTACTCATCAGCCCATTTCATGAGCCTGTCAGGATCTGCCTGGATCACCCTCTTGTCTTCTATTGTGGATGCTTTACCCCAGAGTTTGGTGTCATCGGCGAACTTGGCCACCCCGCTGCTGACAACAACGTCTACATCATTGAAGATGTTAAAGCATGTAGGACCTAGGACAGAGTCTTGAGGGACCCCCACTAGTCACAGGGCACCACGACGACTGACATCCGTCAACCACCACCCTCTGGGTCCTCCTGCAGAGCTAGTTCCCCAGCCAGCGGATCGTGGTGAGGTTGAGGCCGCAGTTAGCCAGTTTTGCCAGGAGGTGATTGTGGGATACCAGATTGAAGGCTTTTTTAAAGTCAAGATATATGACATCAATCTCTTCCCCCTTGTCCAGGTGATAGGTCACCTGGTCATAAAAGGAAATGAGATTGGTCAAGCAAGACCTACCCACAACAAACCCATGCTAGGTATCCCTCAGGAAATTGCTGTCAGCTAGTCTGTTAAGGATGATAATCTTTTCTAAGACCTTCCCCAGGATAGAGGTCAGGCTGATGGGCCTGTAGTTTGCCGGATCTACTTTCCTCCCTTTTTTAAAGATAGGCATGACATTGGCCTTCTTCCAATAATCGGGCACTTCACCAGAGCACCAGTTCTCAAAGATCCGTGCCAGGAGCTGAGCTATGATGCTAGCCAGCTTCTTGCGCACCCTTGGGTGTAAACTGTCAGGGCCCGCTGACATGAAGGTATCCAGCCTGTCAAGGTGTTCCTTCACTAGGTCAGCACTGATGGAGGGTAAGGAATCTCCCTCACCTGGGCATCCCTGACCCACAGTGGGCAGGGACATCCCATGGGACGGGTGAAAAACTGACACAAAGTACCTATTTAGCAAGTTTGCTTTTTCATGGGCATCAGTTGTCAGTTGTCCCATCTGGTTTAGCAGGGGCTCAATGTTGCCCTTGCTTTTCCTCCGGCTCCCTACATATCTTAAAAAGGACTTTAATTGTCTTTGATATTTGTAGCTAGCTGGAATTCCATCGCAGCCTTGGCTTTCCTGGTTTGCTCTCTGCAGGTCCAGATCAGAGCAGAGTATTTCTTTCTTTCGAGACGGGATAAACTTTGCTTGCAATTTGTTAGCAATATTCATAGTTGGAGAA